TAGTTCATTAAGCCTCAAGGTCCCGATTGGACACAGTTGGACTCTCATCAACGAAGCGCCGGTGGACAGCAGTTGCACAGTGAAGCCAGTGGACAGACCCCGTAACCATACGCCTCGGTGTAAAAATATTGTTCATCAGGCAGCCCGTAATCCGTAAGCGTAATATAGTAATTTCTGGCTGTTTAATTGCAGTGAAACCTTTTGTTGCAAGCCAACGTTCTTTGCTCGAAGTTAACGCCTGGTTGACGGCTTCTGCAACGGCAGATCGGTTAGCGGGTTTCAAAACTGGTGCGCTACAGATTCTATCCTTTGATCTGTGGTTGATGAATAGCTGTGATCTCCTACACAGTCAGTGTAGTCCAAATAGCAAATGTTGTTAATGAAAAGTCTCAGGGCATCACCTCCTGCTCACGGATGCATGACTCCACTAGCATAGACACCAGTGAATCACTTCCGGTTCATGGATGACACGGGCCAGGTATATGCGTGCGTCATGTATGGAAGGCGCTGATGAGTACTGGTAAATCAGCAGTGTCAACGGAGAAGCAATACAAAAACACCTATCCGCTATTGTGAACGGATCGTAAGACTGCAGTACGCACTTAACGTATAGTTAGCAGTAAATTATTTAAGGAGTCATTCTCTTCATCTCCAATCAGTAATTAACATTCCATTAGCTAAATGGGTGTATCCCTCTCGCGATCGAACTACTCAGTGGGAAGCTGCAAAGCTACACGTGGAATTACCGCTAATATGTGGTGACGAAGTGCGATTTCTTTCCAGACTATGATTCAGACTTTGTTGATTATAATATATTATAACTCTCGACTGTTGACGAAACGTCATGCAAGTGACGGTAAAATTCAGACTGCGCAAATCACATCTCCGCCTACGACTTTTTTGGAGGACACAGCCGATAAGGACAACTTTCTACTCTTGTACTGCAGTGGTTATCTCTTCCGTCCTCTTTTGAAAAAAACTGATCGCCGGCGATTGAGTATTTATTGAATTTTCAGGTCCTTGCGAGAGCAGGTTTTGCGTGCCCTGGGACAACAGCGTATGCCACACTTGCTTACACGCGTTCTGCTGCTGAATATTGTTGTTACTGTCTTTGGCTAACTATAATCGACACTTATTAAACAGATTAAATATGCAAATAGCGATAGCCTCTTTTAACCAGATGAATCCTGTTCATTATGGCCTGCAGCTCTGATCGCAATCCGCTGTTCAGCGACGAAACGGTGTTGATTTCGTATATCAGCTGATTCGCCAGGTTCGCAAGCAAGCCGCACGTATCGACGCCGAACTGTTGGCCCATTCCATCTAAAATACTATAAATGTTCGCAATGGGGGGGGGGACAATAGGAACAAATGATTCATTCGCCGTGGCAGTCGAACTATGCATTATTATATTAAACGATAGGAGAGTTACAGTATGATGGAATTCTTTTCCCTATTTGCTGTTACAGTCAGTATTGCACTGGTAAACTAGAAGTGCTTTAGTGACGAGTCATTGCTACTTGATCGAAAGGAAGCAACAACAGGCTCGTCGGATCTAAAGTGCGTCTGAACTTAGCACCGGAAAGGAGAAATTTGCTGAGGACGAGACGCAAGTTACTTTTGTGGAAACGCTGAAGAAAAAACTCCCGCTCTTCCAGTTCAAATTAAATAATCGATTCGACATTCTCCACGATATGCAAGATGAAGCAGGGAAAAGACCGTAACTTAACTTAACTGTTCTTAACCTAGTGCATCAGCATATAACGAAGGCAGTTACAGAAACAGCGCAAAATACCTCCTGTGGAATGAGGTCAGTGAAGGTCGACCGAAAAATCATGAAGCAGACAAGACACCTCGAGAAAATGCTAGAGACATGGAGACATCAACAGAACTGTAATCAAATATCGAATATGTAAAACTTTACAAAACTTTAGTAGGACGAATGTTCAACTTCACAATGGTAAAGAAAACTGCTGAAAACAATCGAAGCATGAACAAATTAGATCAGCAACTGACGGGCACCAAACGACAGCCTATGGCTTTCAAAGCAGAAGGCGGGAAGAAAGCCGATATTCTAAAAAGACTGGATGATTTCCATAGAAAACAATACAAATTTCCATAGAAAAAGCAACACCCAAAATGACGAAAAGGCAGCTGAAGATACAAATAAGGTTGATCAAATGGACATATCTTGTCAGAAGTAGTACGACATGCCAAAGAGCGGTCAAAACAAAGAAGGGCTCCCGACGAAGGCAGCGTTAGAGTAGAACTCATTAAGTGAGGAAGTAAAGCATTTACCGAGATATCAGGCGCTTATTTTGACACAGTTTGAAAGAATTGAAAATTCAGTATGATTGGACTGTAGCATCGTGATTCTGCTGTGTAGCAAATGAGAAAAATAGACCCGTAGAAGCACAGGCGAATCCACCTGTTGTCAGTTATCTAGAAAATCTTCAAGAAGGCGGAACGAGTGGGGTTTGGACGAATAGTCATCAAGAAAAACTGAAGGTTGATTGGCAAAGGAATAAGCAGGATCAAGAAGTGGTTTAGAACGATGGGTTATCTTCAGGTGGTGCAACAAGTAATTCACATAAGCAACGAATGTCAGATGCCTGGCTGCCTTAGGTTCGTAGTGTAGATTTCGACGCGGCTTTCGACTCAGTCTTCGTCCTTATGTACTGAATTACTTGAGCAGCCAGAAAATCGAAAAAGATGCAAAGATCTCATCGCTATGATTTACAACAATGCAACTGGTAGAGTGGGGCTTCACGAAAACACAGGGACAAGTTCAAAAGCGAAAAGTGCTTTTGACTAGGAGACGCAATATTACCTAACTTATTCACATCAGCATGGAAGAGATTTTCAAGTGAAAGGGGCTGAAAGTTAATGAACACTTCCTAAGCCACCTGCGGTTTGCTGATGACATTCTGATCCTCTCGAAATCGCCAGAAAACATTTAAAGAAGAGAAGGATAGCCTGGTTTTAGCTGAACATCATGGTTAAAAATGAACCTGAAGAATATTTAGGTTTTGTATAACAAGTCCGTGACAATGAGACCTGTTGAAGTCAACGGATTAGGCTTGAAGAAATGCAAACGTACGTTTATCTGGGTCAGTTCACCTGTGGAACGGACAACCAACTATGTGAAACTAACAGGAGGATAAAAATGGCAAGCCTGAGAATGTTCCTATCTGAGTAACAGTCCTCGTGCTTGAAACGAAAAGTATTCGATGAGGGCGTGCGAAACGTGAATCATAAGCCTGAAAGTTATTTATAAACTGAAGACTACATAACGCAGTAGTAAGCAGGAAAAGTGTGGAAATTAATGAGTGGATAAGCACAAAAGAAAATCTGCGATACCATTACCCAAATGACGAAGTCTAAGTGATCATGGGCAACACACATTGCAATCAGAATGAGAACCAACCATCGTGAACCAGAGAGACGCTGGATTATTTTGCAAGAGAGAGTAAACAGCCTGAAGAAATATCTTCAGATCGATGACAGAATGGGCTAAAGAAGTTCGCTGGATCACCGTAGACCGTTACTTGCGCTGTTATCCGTTCATTCACCTTTTCTGTCATTTCTTGTTATTTCCAACAAGAAATATTGTTTATGAATAATATTCAATTTTTTGGGGTCCACGCTTCGCACTCACAAGTTAGCACTGGGAGCACACGTTGACCAAATACTCTACATCCCAAGCACAAGGGTAGTTTTCCGAATAAGAACATTTTCAATCTTTCAAAAATGTTCCATGCGATTTTAATTTTTATTGATTTCATATACTCGGTTTCCCTTTGAGGGATGAGCTGTCCCAGATACATATAGCTTGGCATTTCTTGAAGCGTTAGTCCGTTGATTTCAACAGATCAAACGGTCAGGTAATTTTTGAGCATGAACTGAATCTTCTTCAGGTACATTTTCAGTTCTGCTTTCATGCTGACTTTGTTTAGCCATTGGATTCTCTCATTTGATGCGCTTAAGAGGATTGGGGTATCATCCACATACCCGTAGTTTAAATAGTGCCTACTTGTGTTCAGTTTCTGACCTTACTCTGGCTTTTCAGTAATTAGAAATAAACTATGAGGTAGCTTCGCTATCGACATAGAAAGTCCTTAGAGACTTGTGAAGTGATCGCATCTTTGTGTTGGTGGTGTTCCGATATTAAAAGAGTGTCAGCAGTGCAGTAACTCAAATTTATTATTATTTCTGACTATTAGGAATGGTTCTTCAAGCATCTTTTTCTGCAACATTCTTGGTATAATGTCACTCTCTGAGGACGAATAGTGCATGATCAAAATTTTTCTAGGCTGTCTATATAATAATTTCCAAATGCCATGTAAAGTGTAAAAGATCTTACTAATTTTAAACTCAGCTTCCGTATGAAAGACTCAACTTCTGTTTTCAAAGATATCAGCATTCAGTTAACGGTTGATTCAAATGGTATGGTTCAAAGACTCAAACTTAAGTTTTGAGGATTACAGGAAACTTCAAGAACGATAAAACAACCCCTGATGTACCGAAAATCTGAGACCAGTAATCTTCATTTAAAGTGGGGGGGGGTTCGCATTTCATCCCTCATTGCCTTTAGTTTCATTTGAAACTTGCACAAATGAAAAATGTAATTCTACGCTGACAGCGTTATGAGATGACGACTTCATGTTTAAGTTCAACAAATACTTTTGCGAAGACGTTTCTACCATCGGGATTGTGAAAGACCTTGTTTTCATCACTCTTTAAAATCATTCAAGAAACATCGCACGGTTCTTTTGTCCTTTTCGCAAAAAGGGCAGCACTAAATGAGTGAGGTTGAGGGTGCAAGCGGCAAGGTGATATTAATTTTCAAAGTGCTTTCGTTGAGGAATAAAGCTGAAAGTTGGTACCAACCCTTCCTTACAGGTGGTCGTTTAAATATCCGTTTTCAAGGCGGGTCTGACTTTAAAACAGACGAAGCTTTGTCAACTCAGGATATCGCCGCAGAGTTCGCCGACCTTTTTCAAGTTTGTGAATTGTCTGCATAGTTACCGTACTTTCCTGAGTACACTATTGGGCTGTTTCGCTGTACTGTTAAGTTCCGCACTTAGTCTTGTTTGATTCATAACAGAAACGCAGATATCAAATTGTGGCAATCATAAATTTGATGTAAACGTCTAGTACACCAATTAGTTTATACCAAATCACGTCACGACTATCAATTGCAATTATATTGATTTAACATGATAATTTTGCACAAAGTTAACATGAGACTGCATGGCCTTCTTAAGTCAAAAACCTGAATTCCAAACGTATGAAATTTCTTACTTTGGAACTGTCCGTTTTGACCGATGACGACAGCCACCGTTATGAGGCACACTGCAAGAAATAGTAGCGGTCCACCTGTGCGATCCATTCAATAATTCATTTGATTCCTCAGGTAGTGCCAGTGTTTGGGCGACGGCAATCTGTTATAAAGTCCTAAATTATACAAATGACGGAGTGTTATAAATAACGGAATATAAGACCTGATGAAGATGCAAAACAAAGACTTAAATTTTGCCTTAAATGCAATGAGCTTAAACGGTAAGCGTGCTTGGGATTTTTCACGCATAACCAAACAAAAACCACAGCGCTGTCTTTCGTTAACTCGAAAAAACCAGATTCTTTCGTTTGGACAACGAGAGAGTTCACAAAGGAATTACTTGGTATAAAAGATTTGAGTCTATCGCCTTAGCACCGGTGCTCTGACACTTTTCTGTATGAAAGCAAACATGAGCGTGCTAAAGTAGAAAACGACCATCTCCTCAACTGTAGTAGTCATGTCCTTAGGCAACATGACTGTAGACTCTGCCTTTAAGCACTCCTGGTTGATGGCATGGGAACGGAACCCAACATCTCACCATCAACTTCATGGAAAGGAGAAATCCAAAATTGCTCATCATCAACTTGAAACAAGATCAATATGCCATTAAGCTACGGAACCATACCCCTGAGAGATCGATATCATCCTGGGCGGCATATGCATGAGTAGAGTGAGATATTCAACATACAAATATTTCTAATGGGCGAGCACTGACGCTGCATGCTCAGGGTTTGACAGTCTCGCAAGAGGGGTGGATAAACTCACCATTCATTCCAGACTAGTGGGCGCGATTTTGGCATTCACTGATGTATCGAACTGAAACCGATATATAAATAAATACTGAAGAATGAGGGTGAGTTTTTCACGGCATTCCCGCCTACCTCGTCAGTCACTATTTTCAATCATAAACTAACTGAGGCATACCTGTTTCCACAACTGGTAAAGTTGTAACCTTGTTTTAACTGGTCAGCTGAACCATTTTTTTGCCGTTAGTCGGAAAGTGCACAAAGCGCCTACGGCATTTAGAACAAATCGAAACTGCTAGCTTTGTACCAGTCGCTGAATGAAATTAATTTTGTTATGTATGACAACATACCAGCATATTTTCTAATTGTTAATGGAATTATGCAAACAACTTTGAATAACTATTAATATATGACAAGTGCCCGCGGGATTACGTCCCATAAAAAGTTTTTATGCACAGGTTCTCGAACTTTTCTGATCATGGTCGATCCAACTTCAGAAAGCGACAAACGGTATTTTTTCTTAATGTGGAGCTAAATTCCCATATAAAAGAGTCCACCTCCATGTTTGAAACCTTAACTATAATCATTGAAACTAAATGCTTAACGACTGCAAGACCGTTTACTAAGTTATAAGATTCACAATTGACGTTCCGTTATTCGTTCATCATTTAACACGTCGATTTATTTATTCGTGTATTCATGTGTTAATTCCTTTCTCGTTTCATTTCTTCCTTCTTCCCACCTGCATACCTTTCTACCTTACTTGTTTTTTCATTGATAAGTTCTTTTATTCATTCATTCGTTAGTTCGTTTGTCTCTTTATTCATCGTTTATTGTTTGCTGTTGTTGCGTGTTTGTTCATTTACCTGTTCATTCATTTGTTCTTATAACGAACTTCCGCGTCGTTGTATTATGCTCTAGAGATGGTCAATATTATTCTAATCACTTAATCAAAATATTTGGGTTTCGCAAGCAATAATCACAAGATCCATTCATTATCAGTCACTCAACTTCGATTACGGCTCATCCGTCTGGGTCAAGGAGGTAGATGCACAAAGCAGTGTCTCCAAAGTTTCTGACCGTGCACCAGTGTTTGAGTTTCGTCAAAAGATAATCCGAGTCTGGAACAGAGTTGGTCAAGACACTTTTCTCAAGTCATTGTTAGAAACATCGGGGTAGCTGCTTCGAATAGTCGCTCTCCAATGCCGCAAGTAGGATTAATACCTTTCATTTATTGGCCCCAAATTTACGTGAGGAAACGCACCCCCCCCAAAGATTCTAGTCCTTTAGAACTATTTAAGGAAAACCCCCAGAACATTGAAGGCAAGAGGATGATGCCCTGGTTTTGTCTTGTAAATTTGGCATCAACGTTGAAATGTAACTCAAATTCATTTACTCTTGACTTTCCCGTTTTCATAAGCACAAAGTCAACTGATCAATGAATCGTCATGTACCGTTCAGTAAGCAAAGGACTTGACAAAATTTATCTGATCTTGTAGAATTCGATTGATATGGAAAATATTAATAGGGTTAACTGTACGAAAAACTTTCCCAAACATTCATAAACCACAATCAAAATCTACTAGTTTCAATTTCATCCGGTACTCATTCTCGAAACACGAACAAAACATCGAATTGAAGCTTTCTCCCAAACCTAAACGTTTACTGTTAAGCCCAGCCACGTACTCACAAACAACAGTATGCATTTTACACTACAGCCACCCCTATTGCCCATTATCAGACTCCTGAGTTCCCATCGCAGAACGTGGACGCTAATCATAGCTGGTCAGTAGCACGAAGACGTTGAACAAAGCAGTCATTATTCTTTTTGCCTTTCAGCCGGTTTGTTGAACTGCAAGGTTCAGTAGAAAGGAAAGCTGGGCTCCTATTCTCATTTTTGCCCAAAGGAAGCACGATACAAGCAGTATTTGGCCTGGATGTCTGCCCTCCAACAGCAGAATGTCTTGAATTAATGGGGATTGCGATTTTCACTGCTTTTTTCCGGATAATCTATCCGTGTGGTCGCTACAGGAAGGGCAGAATCCTAAAACGCACAAACACTTCTGTTTATCCGAACTCCCAAGACTTCGTTATCACTATCATTTTGGGACTCCCGGATGTTTTAGTCACTCAAGAAGCATATTAACTTTCAAACATCGTTCTTTGATGGGTACTCACTCCCCATGGAGGGAGGGGGTGGGGAAGGCGCTGAAAATAGGAAGTACCAGTGATGCTGTTCGGAAAAAAAATATCGCGCCTTTGTTGACTGTTGGGCAACGGAGGTATCAACTTTATAAACATATTGTTACTATGAGGCCTATTCTTCGCTGTTATTGGCCCATGAAATAGCTTCCTCCGTTCAACGTAATGAGCGCCATCATCAATCATCTATTCAGATGAACGACATGATGCACAACGACGTGACTATGACGATTCACGTGACGCACAATTTCACGTCACATTTAGTCATGCACTATCCAACAGTCACCCACAGTGCTTATTTTAGTTTATTTTCTGGTAATGTTCACTTAACAGCGTCCTGATCTTGCCACCATGCTGGTCGTCAGGGCTTCATCTGTTCAAGCAAATGACGAAGGATAGAAACATTTCTCTCTTGTTCTTCAGCCGTTGAAGAGAATCTGGATCTATTTATCGTCTCCAAACGCCGCGACAGCTATCACTGCCAAGTCATCCCTGTCCAGTTTTGCCACTCTTGATCGGTTTGCTGCGCTGCAGTAACGACAGCAGTACATTGTGGCACGGGAGCATTGAATAGGCTGTTTTCCGGAGTTCGCAACAGGCGTCGAAACCTTGGCTTTCCGGTGAGCCTAAGCGTTATGCATAAGGGCATATGCTTTTCTAGTCTTCAGTGGTCTAAAATCTATACGCGACGATATTTCATCATATTGCTGCTCCTTGTCTCCCTTTAGCAACCGTTCCTATCATAAATGCTTTATTTTTTTTATCGAACGACAAAATTACTTTACACGTTGTGCAGAGTCTTTTAAAGAAAGTGAAGTGTGCCTGAACTCCATGAAGACACTCACGAATGCCTGCCTTCCAAAGCACCGATATCAATATAAATATTTTCATTAATTACCGTGCGTTTATCTTTGACTCCATGCACGATCGATAATCGCCGTGCGCGATTTATGAAGTAACTCAAAAAATAACATAAAGCTGGAAATATTCGAAATGACAAACGGCTAATGTCCGGTTTCATCGATTGTTTCGGATCGCTTTTCAAAACATTTCGTGATTGTCAACGGACCGATTTCTGACTCTAATTACGATGGGTTTACAATACAGATGTGAAGTATAGGGCATGAAAATGGACATAATGGCAATAAGCAAGCCCACGGCATGTTTTCGAATTATG